GCTTTGTGTTAAATTCCAGGTAGATTGGGATTAAAGCCTGGACTAGGACACGGGAATAGGTACCCATCCTGGGATTTAGCACGAGATTACCCGTACTATCGAAGGGTTTATATTCCTTGCCTTATCTTTTACTCACATATGTTCAGCCTATATAAAGGGGATTGCAGAAGTTGAAAAACAAAGTTCGCGCACACTTCCTCCAATGGTGCTGTAAATAGTACAGGAAGTACAGAAGTAGCCCCAAAAGACTTTGTTTAATGCGTAATTTTCGAAATGCATTCATGATTTTCAGATAGTGCTTATGTAGGTAATCGATTTTTTATGACAAGAAGGCGTAAGGCAAAATATAATAACGATTCAAACAAATCACCGTCTTCGCTGTAGATCAGGCGGTTAACATAAACGTTTTCCTCCGGGACGTTGAGCTCCTTGGCCACTCGATCGACCATTTCGTAAATACCACCGCTCACCAAGTAGACCTTGATTTTGCTCGCATGAAGGGCATTTATCAGACGCCTGAACTCGAAAGACAGCAAATTAAGGGGTACCATGTGCTTCTTCAGGATGCCACCATAAAATAAACAAGATTGGCGGGGCGGTAGAAAGTTTTACTGGTCAGAATCCCTCGGAGACAAGTTAACGAAAGTAAACATACTCTCAGAAGAGACAGAAGAGGATAAGTTGACGCCTTCTCAGGGCAAACAAGAGAAGCAAAATCATCTCAAGCAATATATCTTTAGGACGATTTACTGCTGCTCTGTTTTGCTTATTAGCAAAAAATCTCGTGGCTGTCTTACACAAAAATCTAGGAATCCTGATCAGGCATAATATTGACTTGTCAAAGGTTTCATCTGATTGTCGATTAAAACGAAAAGGTGAGCTCTACGGAAAAACGAAGGAGGGGATGACGCAATCACTTGACGCTTTGGATTCAAGCTTGAAACTAGGCACAAAGACAGCAACAAATAAGGGTCTGTGTGAGTTCGACCACCGTAATCGGTGATATCCCCCATATGCTCGAGGGCAGGGACGGTGATTGGGGCCAATTATAGTGATAGTAGACGCGCCGCTGACTACTTCACTCTAAACC